AGCCGAGCAGAGCAGACTCAGCCTGTTGCTGTTACATGAGTCAGTCAAGTGACTAATGACTCTCCCCCCTGGGTTTCCCTTCTGGAGCACATTACTTCTCCAAAACACTATTTGATCTCACCTGAGACACCAAAGATAATCAGCCTGAGCTGCCGACAAGGCTCAAGCAGCTGGCTGGTGAAGCTGGAGGGAATCTGCCTGCCCCTCTGCCGCCTGTGCCCAACAGCAGGAGCAAAATCTCTGCTAGCAAACAAGCGGACCTGGAGAAAAATCAACACTTGGAGAGAGATACGAGGAGCTGCACAGCAGCCCTGACTCTCCTGCAAGCAAGGGACTCTGATAACACTGGATCAGACACAATCCTTGTGGCTAACAGGGTTTCTGCTGAATAACAAGTCCCAAATGAGACTGCATGGTGACAGCATCATGGTCCCTGCCTTCCCAGGACTTACAACATCCAAGGGTCACCATATCAGACATGCACAAGAGGGTAAACACCCCTGATTTGGGCATTATTTTCAGAGGCAGGGCCAGGATGGCATAGCTGTGTTTGTGATGTGGGGCTATCTTACCTGATGTCCCCTGCAGCAGGGACCCAGCATGTCATCAGCCCTATGACTGACCACGTCACCGTGCTGCTGGGACTCCAGAACTGCCTGCAGCCCCAACACACCTTAAGCCACTTGGCATTGCCTGCATTATTGGTGTGCCAGAGACAACTATTAGTTTAAAATCCATATGGGCATCATTTAACCGTGCTCTTTGAATTACTTCAGGAGCTGTTTCCCAGTATACGCTGAAGCTGCTCATGTCTGACTTTTACACAGGAGCCCAGGGAAGAGTGACCCAGTTAAGGGCTTCTGCAGGTGACAGAGGGGGTGGTTGCTGGGAATAAGCAGGAAAGAGGAACACATCCTGCAATGTGGTGTATAATCTATAACAGGAGAAAAGTCCCCTGGGGAGGGAAGTCCACAGATTCCTGCATTGAAGTCCACTGCACCCCAAGCTCCCACAGGCAGCAGTTTTGCCCCCATTTCATATGTTCCTCTGCTGACATCTCCAGTTTAGGCAGGCAAAACGATGACATTTCCACTCTGTATCTCAACCTTAAGGACTGCATCGAACAGGCTAAGTTGATGTCTGCAACCACAAAAAAACTCAGCTCCCAGTCTAAAAAAAAAGTCCATACCACAGACCCCACCTAGGGCAGGGGCTACGTGGTCTAAGGCACCAGATGCCAATAGCTGTCCTGCTGCCATGCAGCAACGTTTCCTCCTGCATGGGCACTGCTGATTTCAAAGGAATCTGTGTCAGGTAAGGATGTATCAGGATGTCTTTCTGGACAAATAGCTGCTGCTGTGGTTCACATTTGGGTTTCTTCTGCAAGGCACTGACTAGCACACATTTCACAGGCACTTTCTGAAAAGCCTACTTAAAATGCATGTGCCTCCCTTCAGGTGATATTTGTCAGATTCCTACTATGGAAATGTTTTTACCTCCTGACAATACCCTTTAGATAGAGCCTATGGAGGTGGATGACTCAAGCTTGACATGATTATTTCCATCCACCATTTTTTATTAAAAATACTCCTAGCTGTTCATAATGTGAAGACAGAAGCTGGTTTTAAAAGGGATGTGGAAACCACAGAGTATGCACAAACTGTGCCACAATTTTATGCCAACCAACAATAGCTAGAAAATCTATATGTAAAACAGTTCCTCCCAGCCTTAATTTATAATCCCATGCATAGAAACCACTAAGCATATGGCAATAACATCCATCTGAGACCTTGCTGTAGTTTACGGTCCCCAAGAGACAGGTTATGGATGGCCTGCCACTTTCAACTCCGTCATTTACTTGATGTTACAAAGCTAAGTATCACCTAATATAGCTTTCTGCAAGTTAATTCCCTCTGTGACAGTGACAGCTTCTAAAAAGCCTCATGCTACTACAGAACTGCAAATAGCAAACACCACTGCTAGGAACAGACAAGCCATCAGCAGAGTGACCTGCTATCTCTCCAGCCTCTTTCCTTGCTGCCAGCATAGTATTTAAAGCGGTGTTAAAGTCGACAGATGGCTGATGCAAGTCAGAAAAGTTTTTATAGGAGGGAAAAATAACCGGTTGGAGAAGAGGCAGAGCAGCAACCTGAGCTCTCAATGGTGCATGTGCGTCTGAAAACCTGCACTGCTTTCCTCAAAGCAGGCACTTGTTGGGGCCTTGAATGCAGAGGAGCATTAGAGAAAATTCCCACTGACTTCTCCAGCTTCAAATCTTCAATAATTTAATGTGTGTGACTGGAATTTCTCAATAGGCTGGAACTCCCCTGGGACAAAAATCTCATCAAAAAAGAAACCAAGGAGAATTTGGCATCTCTCTCCCAGCCTGTAAGATTAAATGCAAGTACGTTATTGGCATTGAGCTATTACAGCTTGATATAGCCACAAAGCTCCCATACACTGACATTAACTTCTCAAGAAAGAACATTTTGTTACTCATTCTGAACTGTTTTATGCTTAAAGGCATAAAGACCATTTCTGGTTTGGGTTTGGGCAGGTAACAGTTGTACTGTCACCGATTACCAGCACACCTAGGCAGTGATCATGTATTATCTACGAAACACAGTAAATAGTGACTACTGATCTAATATTACATACAATTTCCAGTGGCTAGGCTGTACTTTGGTAGCTGGCAAAGAGAAAAACATCTCCAGCTTCTTCTGCTGCTCTGGCTTTAGCAGGCACAAATCAATTTGGTACCACTTGTGTGTTTACAGGTGAAAAAAAATGGTCTGAGGTTGAGCTTTTCTCCACTAGGCTTAGAACTGGGGCATATCTTCATGGCAAAGACATAAAGCTCTCAAAAATAGGTTTTTGTGAAGCAAAAGGCTGTCAGGGAAAAAAAAAAAAGACTAGATTCTAACAAGAAGCCTGTGCTTAACAGCCAGAGAATAAATGGATGATTAGTTAAAGAGCTCTAACCATGCTCCTGAAGAACGAGGGGGATACTCTGTGAACAGAGATGAATGAACTCTGCTGCTCTCCAGTTCAATCTCACAGTTATAATGGGGCACCGACCACATTAAATGGATGCAGCACTCACATTAACAGTGACTCGGCTGCTGCCTTCTCAAAAGGCAACTCCTCTACACCACATTCATTTCATTTGCTATTAATTGAAGGAAATGATGCACAGCCTCTCGAGTACTGGTTTCTCCTTGGGGAAGGCAGGTCTGGCCATGGGGCTGTGCTCTGCTCTCTCCGACAGCTCCCACCCTGGAGGTGCCAGTGGGAAAGCGATTCCAAGAGGGCTTGTGAAGCTTGCAGACTGCCCTATGTGGCTGGCAACAGGGAGACGAGGGAAGGATGGAAATGAGACTGAGCTTCCTTCCCGTGTCCAGCCACAGACCATTTCCATGCAAACAGCAGGGGCACAAATCAAGGACAAGTTTCCCTCATGTGCTGGGATGGCCCTGACAGAGGGTTGCAGCCCCGATGCCACTTGAATCGACCCTTGACAGTTGCCTGCAAATCTCAAAGGCAATTGCAGCAGACATACTCAAATCAGGGTAGGCACAGCAGAAAAACCCTTGTTCTCATTTGAAGTAAACTGCAAGACTTCATCCAACATTCTCCTGTCTGCGGAGCCAACCCCTGTCATCCTGAATAGGAACAGCAACTAATCTTCACCTTGCAATGTAGTTTGTCGCCTATAGGATGCACAGAAGCTAACCCAGTTCAGCTCTGCTCAAAACCATAAAACTTCAAGCAAAGCACTTGTAACCCAGTAGAAGAGCGCAGAAGATGCCTCTGCTGTTCTTGTGTTCCTGGGGTCTTAACAAAGCTGCACTGAAAGTGGTTTCTCACATTTCATCTCTCACCTGAACTGCATCTCAGCTTATACTCATTGGGAAGAAGAAAAGCAGTTACAAATACTCAGAAAACACTGTTTGTACTAAAGGTAAGTTAATGTAACACAAAAACAAATCCCAAAGCTCTGGGTTGACAAGGCTTGAAAACTAAGGTCTGCTTTATCAAAGCACAGGTGAAAAGAGGGAGGGTAAACAGAAATGTTGGCCTTCTGTTTTGCCAAAACGCCTCCAACATATCCTGGAAGGTTTATTTCCACCTTGCACCATTCCCTTGCTCATTTCCTCCTCCAATTCTCAATAGATATGATTATGATCATGGCTTGTACCAAATGCCCACTGGGAAGCAAACCAAGAGCTTCAATTTGTTCCACAGCTCTCAAAGACCAGCTGTCAACAGTATTAACTTTAGCTTAGAAGTGCCCCTAGTGAGCCACAAATTGCCTATGAAAGAGACCTTCCCTCCACAAACCAGACTGGAAGTCTACCTGGCCTCACATCCTGTCTGCTGGGCAGAAGGGATTAGCAGCAGCTAGCTTCCAGGGAGGAAAAGAGGGGATCATACAGACAGCAGATGTGGACAACCTTCCTGATAGCCTCTGCCAGCCTGAGGCCTGTGCTCCCAGCCACTGACCTCGAAAAGGGAGTTTGAAAGCTCTTTCCAGCTTCTTAAGCCAGAAGCCACCTCTGCGCATCTTGTTATATTGAAGCACAGAGAGAAACCTTACTTTTGAAAGGCCACAAAGCAGATGAGAAGACCTGACAGGAAGACACATTCAGCTCTGCAGGTTCCCAGGAAAGGCTAAAGAGAGACACCTTTATAAAAAAGATATTAGCCTGACTCTGACAGAGTTTTGCCCATAAAAAGCAGCCTTATTCTCTCAAAAAACTGCCTTATTCCGAGGCAGAAGGACAGAATCTGAGGCTACAATCGGTCCACAGATTTCAACATAACCATGATTAGAACCTTTTCTTTGTCCCTGATCTGCTGAGCCATCTCACTTCTGACCTGCCTTTTGCTCCTTGCTTCACAGGGAGAATACCTCTGGTTATTGCACGATGACACTACAGAGAAGGTGAAAACGAGCCTTTCCCCATTCCCAGCTCCCTTTGGAAAAGCACAAGGCTCACCATCTAGTTCCTCCACGGAGATATTTGCTAGCTGTTCACTGTCACTGCCAGCAGAGAGTGAGCGGTTCAGGTAGTTGCCTTTGTACAACAAGCCAGCTGTTACATGGTGGAATGGCATCTTCTCCCTGTGCACAAGAGAAAGGCTTATTTTAATTATTTATTATATTTAATGATTTTTATTATTATTTATTATATTTAATTATTTATCTTTATTTTATTTGAATAGTACAATAGCCTGCCTTGAAAGAACAGCTGAACCAAAGCAACCTACACCAGGGAACGCACACTGAAGTTGGGTGCACGATTGATGGATTGCAGATTTTATTTAGTGCCTCAAAGACAGGGGCTAAACAAACAAACAGAAAAGCAGCAGCTTCTTCTTTATGCCAAACAAGAATTAGCCGAGATAGAACAGCAGTGCCTTAGGCCTATGAGACTCCAACACTCATACTGCAGCTTTCAGCCTAAAGATTTACTAGTTGCTAATAATTATAGAGCGCATAGGGGTCTACATTGACATGCAACTAAAAAGTCACAGGATCCAGCAGCAGGACTTTGAAAGAGTCTGGACACCAGCTCCCAGACCCTGCTCTAGGGCACCTAGACCCCTAAGACAGTTCAAATCCCCCACCCAGAGCATCCTGCTGATCGAGCTGCAGGTTGCACTTCCGCTCCAGATTTCAGTGGCCCTTGCTGAAAGAAGAAAATTCACATTCCAGCTGGGCCCAAGAAAGAACATTTTCATCTCACAAATACGACAGCTAAAGAAAAATACTGCTCAATGGGAGGCTGTAGCAGAAAAGTGTTTGCAAACTTAGCAGGTATAAACACCGCAGCCTGGTGAAGGGCAACCATCTGCACAGACAAAAGTGGAAATTACTGTCAGCAGCACTTACACATTGATTTAGGATACACAAGAAAGAGGCAAGTTTGCCAAAGTCAATTGAAATATTAAGAGGAAGATTTGTCATCCCCCTGGCTGGTTTCAATCAGCGCAGCCCCATCATGGGCCTATTGCAATTTCTGCTGTACATTTCCAGCAGATATAAATCAGCAGAGCCAACAGAGCCTCCCAGGCACCATCCAAAGTTCTGGCCCAGGGTTTCTGCAGGGGCTGGAAGGTGGCCAGGACATGCTGGGCTGTACCACTGGGAGCAGACCATTAAGATAAATTTCTTTGGCAACTTTGACAGATCTCACTCATACCAGTGGGGGACAAAGCCCCTTGGTAACAAACTCCAAGGACGTTCTCACTACAGGCTTTGCCATAAAGAGATAAGTGCCACCTACTGAATCATTCTCCAGCCAACACTACAATTACAAGGATGATCTGGCTTTTACTCAGCCATATGTTCTTACCACAGTCAATAGAAAAAAATATATACACACATATATATGCATTAATTTTGTAACAAATGCCTTCTTGCCTCACTGAGTTAGTAGAAGCTTTAATAGACTCACCAAGAGCAAACTAAGCTCAAGACACAGGAAAGCAAAGAAGAAAAGCCACGAGGTTTCTCTTGCGCTGCTTAGCACGCACCCAGAATTTATCTTGCAGTAATTATGTAAATAAATCCTAATCGCAATTTTAAGTATTTTTATTTGGGAGCCAGTTTCTTCAGCAGCACATTAGAAATCGTAAACAAGGTTTTCTTTTTCATTAAGCCTAGCTGTAATTTCCCAGCACTTGCCGATTAATGTATTTCATTCTGATACATTGCTCACTCTGACAGTGCTCTACACCAAGACAGGAACTTTACCTACCCATAGGGAGACCCATAGGCAATGTCATCTTTGGTACCACAACAATTCCAAACAAACAGGCAGCTGGAGAGACACTTCCAGCCCTTTGCACCATCTTCATTAGCTTCCAGTCCCACCACAGAGTATTCAGGCAACAATCGATCCATGTTTTCACCCAATAATCACATGCCCAGTGTAAAAGCAATTACGCTGATTAACCCTATTGAACAAAAAGATTTAAATCTAACACCTGCAGCAGCCCGGGCAGGCTGAGCTTGTACTGCAAATGCAGTGCGAGATGAGCCCATGAGGCTGGGGACAGCCCTGGGTGAAGGGAGTTCGCCCACCGTTGGAGTAGCTGCAAGCCATGGATTCAGGTGCACTAAAGCATTTCAGAAGCCAGTTTCCCTGCCTTTGCTTCTATAGCCATCTTAAAAAAATGACAATGCATCTCCCTGAGGGCTAAAGTGTTTGAAATCCATTCCCACTTGGGAGCCTGTGATAAGTTTTAGTACTAGGGGTGACGACCCATGATATCTGACTGTGAGAAATCCTAAATTCTACCACCTAAGAGTATTATTTTTTTTAATTGCAATATTGTTGAACAGAAACCCTGCAGAGATTCAGTAATTCAGCAGCTCTCAGCCTGCCTCCAGTTTTAACAAGAGATGCTCAAAAATGGACCAGTAGCAGCTCCAGCACCAGATGTTCAAACAGGGATGCGCAGCTGCACTTCAGGAGCACTCAGCATCCTGTAGACAGGAACCTGCTGGCAACACCAAGCCTGCACAGAGGCAAAAAACGTCCAGAAGGGGTAATGAAGGGTGTGGGACGTAGGAGCGCACAAGGAAAAGCACCGTGTTTTGCAAATCACCCTGTGTTGAAACATATAAAAAGGTTAATAGAAATATGTAGGTGCCCAATGCCTGTCTGGAAACAAGAGGTCTGTCCTAGCACAGTCAGATCAGTCCAGTCTCATTTTGAATTTAGCCAAAATGTCCATATTAGAAACACAGTAACCTTAAGCTTGCCTGTGGCTGCTCCTTCCAGTGTCAGCGGAGACCCTGAGTAAACTCACACTGGTGCTGATGGGATCCATCCCACACCCAGTGCTCGGTCAGCAGCAGACGCTGATGCTGGAGTGCAGGGTGTGACAGCTTTCTGTGTCTTCATCATGTTAAACTTGAAGCAATGGGCACTCACTTCCTCTGGATGGGAATGGGGACGATGCCCCAGCACTTGCCCTGCTTTTCAGAGCTGCACAACAAGCCCCCAGGCAGGCAGCTAAGCAGTGAGCTTTTCTCTCCATCACCGAGCAGTCAAGACAGACACATCTTCCCCTGAGCAACTCACAAACTGAAAGCACTTTTCAAAGGCATAGTGGGATTTTGGAGCACTGAAATCTCCTTGAATAATATGATGAAAACATTGACATTTAACCAAAAAGCCCTCAAAGAACCCATAAACATGTGTATGGAAATGTTACCATAGTACCTTGCCAAGGTTTCAGTCTCTGTGCCAAGCTCAGCAGCAGGTTACATCCCCCGTAACGCCCGGCGCAGCAGCACTGCCAGCTCTGCTCCTTCCTTTCAGCACAACCACATTTGTGAAATTTAGAGGAGGTTTGTAAGCAATGTCAGGGATAAAAAAGCAGTTACACGATGCTCACATGTCTACGCTCGCTCCGCTTTGCATTCGCCACCAGCTTCTGTCATATGTCTTTTAAAAAGGCTTTCAGACCCAGTTGAAAATCTACACAACGATTAAACTGGAAGGTTTAGCTTAAATATCAGTCACTGAGATGGAATCAGGATCAATTTGTATCGATCCTGGATCTCTCTTGGTAGTTACCAATTTGGAAAAGATTTCTTGCTAATCTTCCTCCTGTGTGCAGCACAAAATGATGTCCAGGAGTTGATCCTGGTGTTAACAGCCTCAGGCACGTAACACACAACACCAATGGCACTGCCTGGGTGTTACACCTAGCCAGTATCTTGTATTTTCTCCATGCAGGTGGAATTGGTAGATCCTGGCTGCTGCCCAGCAGGCTGTGAGCTGGTCTTACAGATCCTCACCCTGGCCCTACAGCTACTGCCCCATGGACATCAAACATCACAGGCAGAAATGATGCTGGTGGGAAAAAATGTTAGGACAATTGAGATCTCTCCACAAATCTGGCTGAGGTTGAGCAGAAGATTCAAGCTGATGGCATGGAAAAACGTGAAAAAATAACCTAATACATGAGTGGACAAGCACACATGTGCAGTACAACAGCAGAAGCTTCATTTTCTTAGGAAACTGGGCTAAAAAACTCAACAGGAATACAGAGAAAATCCATGAAGCAACCAGATGGTAGGGAAACTGGAACAGTAGCTGTAAAGTCCCCCATCTTGCTCTAAAACCCTTTAAAAATTCATCAAATGAAGTAATGGTGTTAAAGATGCTTCTCCCTGGCCAGAGAAATGTTATAACATCCAAAACAAATAAGTGCAGTGGCTTCTAAAAAAATTATCTCCTTTTCCCCAGAGCTGAAGGATTGCCATGATCTTTACAGGTAGTCTGTGTAATATCTGGCTGGATCCAAAGGGAAGAGCAAATAAGGAACTAAATATCATCTGGGAAATTCCTGGGCCATTGGATCTGGCATTCTCTGGGCAGGATGCATCAGTCAGGGGACACAACCAACTTCCCAAAGAGTCTTTCCTGCTATTCTTGTACATCTTCCTTTCATTGCTGTCCATGCACTAGTCCCTTCCCTCCCTCCCAAGGAGACAGTAACAGCTTGAGTCATGATTAGCCCATGCTCTCTGGCATGGGAGCAACATGAACAAACATGTCCATGTTTGTAGCCAATATAGTTAAGGGACTACAAATCAAGAGTTCTGCTGCAGACACATAGGTTTGGCAAAGTCCTTCATCTAGGAGAAGCACTAAGTCACTTTGTCCCTTATCACCTGCCTTCACTGTTGCTAAAAATAGCTTTAAAGATTAATTTTTTTTTTATTTACTTTGTGCAAAAACTTGGCACCTCAAATGCAATATGAGCCCAAGCTCCCAAAGCGAAGTCTGGATAGCCCAAAGAGTTTCATTTTGGCACGGGGAGGATGCAAAGAAGGGGAGCATCAAGAGCTCTGTAATGAGGTGTAAAGATTTAAGCTGCTGCAATAAAATGCAGAAGTCTTTGTTTAATCAGTCTCAATTCTGGTGTGTAGAGAGACACAGGAATGAAAGTGTGCTCAGGCAGATGGCTTTTGCTGTAGCTACAAAACCAATATAAGTGGGTCCTGGAAGGGTGCCTTGGGATTGAGAAAAATAAGATCTGGTGCATAGGGAGCCTTAAAAGAAAGCCCTAAAATAGATCCTCCCAGGGAGGAAAATCTTT